AACAAAAATCACTACCCATATGCACATGAGACAAACACACAATCATAATCACACCACTCAATGCAAACAAGGGCATACAATCGATCTAGCTACCGTTACAAAATACTCGGACTATTCTATATATGTGGAGGAATACTACTGATAATATGGTGGTCGACTAGAAATTTTGATTGGAAGAAGACTCCATGATATCTGCTCCAGCTTCGTATTCATAGTCATCATTACTATCGGGGTTGGAGTCGGTGTCGTCGATGATGATGTAGTCTTTGGGATGGTCTTCACCTCCTGGCGCAGGGTCTCCCAGGAATATTCCTAGTTTTTCCTTCAGGTCTTCATTCTTCTCCAGTAGTACTGCAATTTCCTCTTCATATCCATCGCGCGTAGACTTGAATTCTTCTTCTAGCTCCATGTTCCTGGTCATTAATTTCTTCAGGTCTATCATGCTGGCGCACATCTGGTTCTCCTGATGACGGATGTGTTGGTTTAACTCCTGGATGTAGGCTGCAATGGACTTGTCCCTCCTGGTGTAGATAATCTCCCATTGCTCATCTTGGCGTCCACATATCTGGTATATGGTGTCCTTAAGATCCTTGTGGTAAACTTCGCCGATGCATCCCATGGCGATGTGAGCTGCCATGCTCTTTCCTAGACACCAGGTTGGTGCATCAAAGGAAAACTCTATGGGCTCCGTAACTAGAGTGAAAGTCCTTCCTGGAACATGTACTCGAACTGTCCAATGCTCTTCTTTCGGTAGAGTGGCAGTGTAGGTCCCGGTGAAGCTCGGTATTACGATGTTCAGGTATCTAGTGGCCTCCTTCAAGTGTCGTCCAAAAGGTGTATCTTCATTCGGTTGAGCAAACTTGTTCATTGGGTCCGCCATCTATAGAGTAAAAGGTGGAGAAGAGTCAGAGATGGGTAGAGAAGAGGGTCCTATGGCTTATCTTAGTGGTTACGTCCTACTGTCAGCGTGTACTCTGATACCATCTTGTAGCGATCCGACCTCAAACGGTCAAATCTCTGTGCATAAGTGTCATCCCTGGATCAGTAATGCTGACACACACAGTACTCGAGGATTTATAATAGAGTTCAATCGCAGACTTATTACATCGAATGTCTCAAAAGAGAACTTATTACAATAATATGGCTGAAGGCGTCTAAAATAACATAACAACGGAAGGCTTCGAAGGTAAATGAGTCCATCAACTCCAACATCATAGCTGAGTGCACGACAACGACCTAGTGCACCTTACTCTTCGTCTGAAAAGTTTGCAACATAAGACGTTGCAGCCCGAAACGGGTCAGCACATGGAATATGTTGGTAATATAACACCGTAGAGCAATTAACATGTAACAACTATAACTATATGCATATTTGGCTGGTGGAGGCTCTATGGTTATTTTTGCAGAAAGCTAGTTTTTCCCTACAACAAAGGAATATATTTTATTTAACTACAAAGTTTGTTGAAAACATTGAGAATGGTAACCCCATCTCAATCCCAAATTAATAATTATTAACCCAACAAGTTAATCAAGTACAGTGATGAGATCAACATAATAATTCAAGCACCAGATACTCAAGATGTCCATAACCGGGGACACGGCTAATCATGATCAGTTTGTACACTCTGCAGAGGTTTGCACACTTTTCCCCACAAGACTCGATCTCCTCCGTTGAATTTGTCGCACTGCATGATGTTTGAGAAACGGATGACCGAGACACAGTCTTTCCGAAGAGGTCCCCTTAACCGATAGATAGGCCTGTACACCTACAATCCCCTACATCTGCTAGCCCATCATGGAAAGGATTCCCACAACTTACTCAACTATGCCAGAGCCCATAATGGCATGTTGCTGCACATGGAAGTTTCTAGCTTGAATAATCTTATGATCCCTTTGAGCCTGGGTGACAAACCATAGGAAAAATCACACGGATACCCCGGGATTCTCCTTTGGACAACACTGGATTACTCCAGGTGTCCACAAACCAATCCACCCGGATGTGTGTTAAAGTAGCCACCTTAAATAAACCCTTAGTTCATAATAATACTCACAACTGTCATGAATCACTCGAACCAAACCACGTCTACGAGCATAGCATAGCAGTATAAGCATAACGTAGAAGTAACTCCCGTGGTTTGAATGAAAAGGGCAATAGGTACTACCTCAACAACTACTTCCCAATACCCATATGTTAAGCAGATCCTACTCATGCAATGTTTGAGGGTTGAGACTAATGCATAAAAACTGGGTAATAAGGGATATGATCAAAGTGTTACTTGCCTTGCTGACGATCTGAAAACCCTAGTGACTCGTAGTAGCACACTTCGTTCTCCAGAAACTCTATCGTAAACAAACAGTAACATAGATAAGCACTCAAGCAATAGATGCAAGGCTAAAACTCGAATGAAAAGATCCAACCTGAAAGTACAAGTGAAGAACTTCGATTTGCAAAAAGATACAATCGAATCGGAGCTACGAAACACAAACTACGATCAAAGAAGTTCAAAAATCAAATCTGCTTGCAACCAAATTTTAAATTGTCAAAACCATGTTCAAGTTGGTTAACTGGAAAGAGGGGTTCGAGACGAAGAATTTGGCGTTGGTTTCACTGGATATGGACGGGCGAGCAAAAAGTTGTGGAGGTTTGAAAATCAGGGGCTAATCTGCGATGAAAATAATCACAAATAGGTCCCTGGCTGAAAATAAATAAATAAAAAGCTATGGAACGAATGTTCGTTACCAGAGGCTAACGAACGAAAACGTTGGTCGAAACGATCCAACCAGCGAGCGTTCGCAAAATAACAAACCTAAAAAAACCGGCCTAATCCGAAAAACCGAAAAAATCGAAAAGCGAACCGGGCGGTTTTATACCGATCCAACTCGGCGGCGAGGTCAACGGCGGCGGTCGCGACTCCGGCGGCATGGGCGAGGCGGGGCTCCGACAAGACGGCAAGTGGCGACGCGACGGCTTGCGGCAACGACGAGTAGCAGGCAGCGGCGCGGCAAATGGCGGGGCACGGTGCAGCTCGGGAGGCGGCGGCGTCAGCGGCTGGTGGGGTGATGGGAGGGGGCGGCGGCGGCGGGTACTTATAGGAGGGGGGCTGCTTGGGGAAGGGGGCGCCGGGTCGGGGCCGGCCTCGGGAGGCGTGCCTCGGCCGGATTCGAACGGCGGCGGCGACGCGGACTCCTCGCGTAGGAGGGAGGCGGCTGCGTCAGGCGGGCCGGCCTGCTCGGCTGGGCTTCAGCCCAGTCGGGCGGGAAAGATTTTTTTTTTAAAAGTAATTTCGCCTGAAGAAAAAAAATCCTAATAAAATAATTTTTTTCTAAAAAATGCCAAAAACAATTTTCACCATCTAAACCTATTATTTAGAACAAAGTGAACATTTTTCTGGCCCAAAAATGCAATTTTCAAAAAATTGCCTCTCTTTTTGAAGAAATCATATTATCTTCTTTCTTTTAATTTAAATATTAGAAATAATTGAAGAAAAAAAATATTAAAATCAAAATAATCCTTTTTTTAATTTGAGAACAATTCAAATATGAAAATTTATGAAATCCCCAACTCTCTCCTTAGGTCCTTGAGTTGCTTAATATTTCTAGGATTACACAAAAAATGCAAGTAAAAATGATATGCATATGATGACCTATGTATAACATCCAAATTAAAAATTGGAATGTTACACCGGGCTACCTCCCAAGCCCCACGCCGGCGCTAGTGCAAACACCTTCGCAACGACGAATACCGTGGGCACAAATCCACCATGAAGATGCCGTCACCACCACACCATTGTTAGTTGAACAGACTAAAAAAACTTAAAAAAAATCAACACGGGTGAATCCGACGACCTCTTTCATCATCAACAACCAAGGTCGTCGGAAGATGGCGACGAAGGAAGACGGCCTGACGGCTCCGGTGAGATCACGAAAAGGAACAAACGGACGATCGTCTAGATCCAGCACACATCTCATTCAGGGGCTCATTTTCCCGAATTTGTTTTCCACCGAACATACTCCGTATTTTCCCGTGAAAATATCTCACGTATAACATGGAATCTCTTCTCGATAGGTTATTAAAAACGCGCAGCAGAATCTAAGTTCCCCTCGTCACCACTGTTCTTGTCCCTGCGCCAGCCAAATACCCCTCCTCCTCCTCTCCGATCTCCCCACCAAATCCCGCCGCGAAGACGCCTGTTCTTTCCGGGCTCCCCGATTCCCGCCGGCGGCGGCGCGACCCCGACCCGGCGAGCCAGGCCTCCCTCCACCGGCGGAGCCTTCCCTCGTCGAGCGGCGCCGCGCCCCCGCCCCCGCCCTCACTCGACTGGCGCCGCACTGACGCGGCGCGGAGATCCGTCTGCCCGGGCTCGCATTGGGTTTGTTCTCCTCTGGGTAAGTAGCTCTGGATTGCTTCCAGGGGTTGTTCCACGAGTTCGCCTCGATCTCCGGGATCTTTTCGTTCCCGTCGCCGCGTGCAGTAGAGCCCAACCGTTCCCGTCCCTCGTTCATTTCTTTGCGGATTTGTGCGCTGGCGTGGTCCCCTAATAATCTAACCCGTCCGTTCATGGCGCCCCAGTGATCTAATTAATCGTTGGCAGATCTGTCATTGCGGTATGTGCCCTCGGCGGTAGGTGTGGGCGCATCGGCGTTTGAATTATTTTTTAATCTGGGAAATTGCGTTTGATCTTTGTGCCTATCTTGCTACGAATCAGTTAGTTCCTGTTCATATGATTGTGTGAATAAGCTGGCTGAATTGTTCGTAACACCGGGTAACTGTCGGATAGCAGGCTGGCGTTTCTTGTGGTAATAGATCGGTTGAAACTCTTGAGAGTTTAGCAAAACATTCGTCCCTGGTTAAAAAAGTCCATTATAGTGTGAAGCCTCCATTTCTTATGATTTGTGAGCACATGTCTGTTTGCTGTTTCTAGTTGTCACCTTCTGCAAATTTGGATGACCCCCATGTTTGACATCCCGGTGACTGTAGGTTTGTTGAACAGTAACACTATATGGGATCGTACTCGACAAGTGAAGTGCTTAATGCTGCCGCGGTTGGCGTCCATCATCCAGCACTCCGTTTGCACGAGCTGGACCTGAAAGGTTCCATGTCGGCGGAGGAACTACCGACGACGTCAGGCCTGGAGAATGGACACCAGGCACCATTTGTTATTGGTTAGTAGTCTATGGGTTCTGCTCTCTCTATTTGCTGGCGGAAATTCAGTTAACTGTAGTTGCTTACATAGTACAACCTTTCTACCCCCAAATGCGCCTCACCATAATTTTGTTTGTGTTGAAGGTGTTGCTGGAGGTGCATCTTCAGGTAAAAGTACTGTTTGCAAAATGATCATCGATCAGCTATGCGATCAGCGTGTAGTTGTTGTTACTCAGGTTTGTGTATTACAGCTCTGACTGCGCTTCTTGTGATATTACGACTATCCATTTTTTCTTATAACAAAGTCACTAATAGTTCATTTTTTTTGGTTTATAAATGTGTAGTGTCCTCAATTATGCATTCAGTTTTTTATTTATCCACTTCCCCTTGCTAGATATTTTATTGTCACCATACGCTGTGTACAATCTTGCAAGCAATAAGAATGTTGATCTCAAATGTTGCAGGAGTCATTTTATTACGGACTGTCTGATGAGGAACTGGTCCATGTTCATGATTATAACTTTGATCATCCAGGTATAACACATGTTTCATGAGAACGTAATGTATTTTTGTGCCATTCACAGGAGATGTGCTCTGACTTTGTTACTGCTGCTGCTCCTTTCCTAATTTCAGATGCATTTGATACGGATTTACTACTCTCTTGTATGGAAAAATTGAAACATGGTAAAGCTGTTGACATTCCAAGCTACGACTTCAAAACACATAAGAGCATCTCATGTGCAAGAAAGGTAATTTTATACATATGGTGCTATTCATACTCACCTGGTAGGATGAGGCTCTCCCAGTCCTGTGCTTTATGAGACTTCGGACTATGAAATTAGGTTTGTAATCAATATTTGCAGATCGTACTGAAATTTTGTAGTCTCTCCAGAATAATTTCCTCCCAAAACTATTATGTAAAATATGTAGTGCCGTAAGTGTTAGCTCACACACTCTGTGCAAGCACCTTATTTCATAACATAGAGTTCATCTTGAAATGTTCTCTCCAAGAAGTTAATTTATTGCTGAGTGCTTATAAATATCGTACGCCACTTATTCATATCTGTACGACTGTACCACTTTATTTATGAGAGCATCCCTACTTTTGTGACTGTTGTCAGGTTAATCCTTCAGATGTAATAATTTTGGAAGGAATTCTACTTTTCCATGATTCACGTGTCCGGGATCTAATGAACATGAAGATCTTCGTTGATACAGGTACTGATATTTGCATCCTAAGCTGATCTTGCTCTATCAGTCTCTTTTATGCCTTGCAACATCCAACTGTGGCTCATGGCCAGGACATTTAGTTTCACATTCATGTTTTTCATGTGGAATGTCAATATTTCATAATATTTAATGGCACACATGTGTTCCTCTCCTGGTCCATTCAATTTGGAAATTTAGTATAAATTATCATTAATTTCTTATCAATTTACAATAAATTTTGAGTAATTTCTTGTTTATTTTCATATACAACGTACTTAAGGTTTTGCAGTAGTTGGCATATTTAATAAGAAGCAGTCGTTATTAACACCATAAATATCTCCAAGGGCATGCTGCACAAACTGCAGCAATGTGCATAATCAAGGCTAGCACTTCGTTGCAGTAAATGATAAATTCGAGAGATTTGTTGTCCAGCGTTTAGTTCAGTCACCTACTTTGAATTCTCTATCAGTAGAGCTTTTTTTTTACGCAAACAGTTTCTTTGTAACCCTATCCATTCCATCCTGTTAGTTTATCATGTATTGTTTTTGCATTTTTCTTTCAGATGCTGATGTGCGATTAACAAGGAGGATCCGTCGTGATACCATTGAGAAGGGTAGAGATATTATAGCTGTGTTAGATCAGGTTGCTTAGCCTCAGATATCACCATTTTCCTTGTCTATAATATGTTACTGGTATTGTGTTTAGCAACATTCAGCACACTAATTACAACAAATTTTCTTGTAAGTTTACAAGTTTACTTGAATTAAGGTGTCACAAAAGTGTCTATGCTAACTACACATGTTCTGTACATTTATTTCATTTTTGGAATTTCATGCAACTTTTTTTTGGCAGTACTCGAAGTTTGTAAAGACAGCTTTTGAAGACTTCATTCTCCCCACAAAGAAGTATGCTGATATTATCATCCCACGAGGCGCAGATAACAGTGTGGCAATTGACCTAATCGTTCAGCATATTCGCACTAAACTTGGTCAAAATGATCTATGTAAAATACACCCAAATTTATATGTTATTCAGACTACTTACCAGGTATCTAATGTGCTTACCTTTTGATGTCTCCATAATAAACTGCATGTGTATTGCAAGTCTCTATTTTGTATGGTGCATAACTATTTGGATCTTAATGCTTCTTTCCTTCAGATACGAGGCATGCACACAATAATACGAGATGCTGCCACTACGACACACGATTTCATATTTTATGCTGATCGGTTAATTCGATTGGTTAGTATGTACAAGCATGTGAACATTCTTCTTCTGTATGAGTCGTGTCTTGAATTTCACTGTGTAAAATAGGTTGTCGAGCATGGCCTTGGTCATCTTCCTTTCAGGGAAAAGCAGGTCATTACTCCAACTGGTAAGTAGTATTGCATGGTGGTCTTTCCCATGTACTTTTGTAGTGTATGCAAGTTGCCTCTTCAAATGCATTTTGGATTTACTCACTGCAAGTTTGCATACGTACTGAAGTTTGCATACGTACTGAATTTCTAGAAATACATCATTGGATAAGTTCTTTCATAATAGTTTTCCATCTAATTCAAGTACGCATTATTTGGAGTATCCTGTACTTGCTTGCAGTCATTAATTTCATCTATTAACTTCCATTGTGATCATTTTCTTAAGTGCGTTTCTTGTTTGTTTTTATTATGCAGTGAGTATATGTTTTCGCCACGTAGCTAAAATTCGTGTCAAGCATTTAGTTAGTTGAGAGTTTTTGGAACTACTCATGATTTGTTTATCCATTTATCTTTGAGCAATGGAAAAACACCTAAGAGCATCTCCAATAGATGGTCCAAATTTTGGCGGTCCAAAACCGGAGATGTAAAATTTGGACCGCCAAAAAGTGCATTTTGGAGCTCCGAAAAACGCTCAACTCCAACAGATGGTCCAAATTGATGCTCCAAAAGAGCAACTCCAATAGATGGTCCAAACCAAAGATGTAAAAATCTGAAAACGGCCGCACGGCTGCTGCCAGCCACTGTTCAGCCGCGGTTTTGCCTTGAAATAGCATCAAAAATTTGAAAATAAAGTGCATCATCATCATAGTTTCAATCAAAAGTGCATCACCATCATAGTATCAAATCCCTCTACCAAAAGAGCATCGTCTCAATCAAAGTTTTTTGCCCTAGAAATTGAAATGCACATGAATATTACTCATGCGGGTCATCAACACCACCGCGTTGTGAACCGTGGTACGATCATCACAACCACTTGGGTTCATGCGAGCAACGTTTGACAAGCAACCGGCCCACTTTTGGCATTCGGCGTTGATGGTGGACCAACGTTCGCGTAGAGAGTCGCTCAAACGGAAGTGACCACTTGTGTTGCGCTCATCGAAGTACTCCTTGATGCGTTGCCAATAGGTGTTCACTGTTTGGTCGCTTCCAACGCTTGCATCTTGAGAGATTTTCTTCCAAGTGGTGCATATCAACACATCCTCTGCGGTGGTATAATTTCCACTTCTTCCCTTGACAACAAAGCCCTCATCATCCACATCAAGATTGTCATCATCATATTGGGTTTCATATTCTTGTGACGCATACATGTAATCATCATTTGCCACATTTGTCGCGTGCATGAAAGCTTCATCATCAAGATTACAATTGGACGCACAAACAATCAAGAACACATACAATTTGAAACAACAAACGAGAGCACAACCGGAAAATTTATACCTTTGCGACATTTCGTCGAACATGTTGGAGGCGGTGGCCGTCGGCGTGGCCACATCTTCCTCCACGGCCGGCGGTGGCGGCGGGGGAGGTTGAGGAATGGATGTGTGGCTGCTGGAGGAGGCCGCCGGCCGCACCGGTTGCGAGTCGTCGCCCCGAGCCGCCGCGGCCGCCTTGGAGACCTTCACCGTCCGCGTAAAACTATCGGTCGGGTTGCGGCTGCGGTTGGCCGGCCGTTTTCCGCCGCCTCGTCCCTTCGCCGGCTTCGCCGCCGGCGCGGTGGCGGGCGGGGGGCGGCGGCATGGCAGCGGTTGCGGGCGAGATGGCAGCGGCGGCGGCCACGTGGGTCAGCCCACCGGCTGCGGCGGCGGCCACGTGGGTCAGCCCACCGGCTGCGGCGGCGGTGGAGAAGGCGGCCGGGCGGGTTGTGGCGAGCGGACGGGCGCGGGCGGGCGGGAAAGGAAAGGAACTGGTGGTTGGGCGTTCGCGGGCGGCGGCTGGTTTTGGACCAGATGCACCTCGTGATGTAAATTTGCACCGCGAGGTGTTGTATTTTACATCACGAGGAGGCCGCGGTCCAATTTTTTTTACATATGGACCGTCTGTTGGAGCAGCGTTTTTTGCCCCAGACGGTCCAAAAGTTAGGTATTTTTACATTTGGACCGTCTATTGGAGATGCTCTAATACCGACAAAAAACAACTTCAGCTCTACAGAAATGCTAGGATATCAATCTAGTATAACCATGGCTGAAGAAGCTCCGGGCCATCTCCTGGTCATATTGGGGGAGCTCCTTCTGGGCCATCTCCTGATTTAATCCTGCGCCTTGCAATTGCTTCTTCGAAGCTGCCTTTTAAAATGCACCTCATTGGGAATTTAGTACCACATAAGATTCGTCATTTTCCATTCTCTGCGCAGAAGGTGCACCATTGCTTATTGGCTACAAGGATATCTTAGTTGTAACAGGGATCCAGGCTGACCAAATCCTCTAACCCCCCTGATGGGCGATGCCTCTCAGTTTCTTGTAGAAATATTTGACTTCAAAGTAACCACATTGCTCGCATCTCTCAGCTCATGTAATACTTATCCTAGATATCCAACCAACTAGGCAAGTCTTGATATCTTATCTTAATCTGAAATGACTTAAATACTTAGCCGGCGATTTATCATCCCTGTTTAGCAAATGATTGCTTACATGCAGTTCCATGGTTTTGGCATTTATGGGAGAACAACGGTATGGTTGCTAGTTGTTACAAACATGCATACTACTAGCTCGTACAGGGACAATAGTTTATCCATCTCCATAATTCCTTTTTCTTCTAATAATACTGTCTGCTGGAGTTACTTGCATGTGCATTCTCTCCTGTTAGTAGTTCATATGTTTGTCCTTATGCACTTTCTTATGCATGCAGGATCTGTTTACACTGGTGTGGATTTCTCAAAAAGTTTATGTGGGATATCAGTGATTAGGAGGTACCAACTCTTCCAAAATATTTTAACCATTGCTTTGTTGAGGCTCAAAATGACCGAACAACTTTGGCACTCACACAGAGACAAAAGTTCCTTAATACGTATACCTGGGACAGTCTGTGCAAAACAATGCAATTGTAGTTTATGAATGCTCCAGACTATTATGCTGGGAATTCAGTTTTCAGTCTCCTTTAGCTTTGCTATATGGGTTCGAGCCTTCATTCATAGGTGAATTATCAATTAAACATGCTTTATTAAACCACTTATGGTCTGTAATTCAGTCCATTATTATAAGGCATCTATGAACAAAACATGTGATACAACTTTGAATGAAACATCATTGTGTTAGTGATTCGTCACAAATTGTGTTCCAGTGGCGAAAGTATGGAGAATGCTCTGCGGGCATGCTGTAAAGGTATAAAGATTGGGAAGATTCTTATTCACAGGGAAGGAGATGATGGGAAACAGGTTTGGTTTAATCCACTTTTGCATTATATGCTAGGCGTGTCAAGTTACTAAGTTTTATAAATGTCCTCACAGCTCATCTATCACAATTTACCCAAAGATATCGCAAAAAGGCATGTTCTGTTGCTGGACCCCATATTGGGAACAGGTTTGTTGATATTTCATACATATTTGTCTACTGCAGCACACATTTTTTCACGTGAATGAATTATGAAACTATAAATTCTTTCTCTCTCTCTCTCTCTCTCTCTCTCTCTCTCTCTCTCTCTCTCTCGGTACCCTTCCTGTTGAAGTGTTAGCACTCATCTTGTTTTTGTAAAGCACTTTGAGTAGGAAACTTGTGTTTGTTACTCCACAGGAGTAGTAAATACGTAGTACTCCATCACGTGAATGAAGTAACAAACAAGATGTTATTTCATGTTATTTTATTTCACATGATGATTTCACGTGATAGATAAATAACACATATTTTTCATGTCATTTCACGTGAATGAAGTATTATTTTTCATGTTATTTCGTTTATCTTCTCACGTGGATGAAGTAACAAACAATGGTTGCGTGGAAGCTTGCTATCCATGTACCAGAACCATGAGTTGGTCACGAGATCTTATGGGTTTCACCTCTAGCCTACCCCACCTTGTTTGGCACTAGAGCATCTCCAATAGATGGTCCAAATTTTGGCGGTCCAAAACCGGAGATGTAAAATTTGGACCGTCAAAAAGTGCGTTTTGGGGCTCCGAAAAAAGCTCAACTCCAACAGATGGTCCAAATTGATGGTCCAAAAGAGCAACTCCAATAGATGGTCCAAAATGAAGATGTAAAACGACATACTACTAGTCCATTCAACATAGTTCAAACATCAAATTCAACATAGTTTCATACATCAACTTCAACATAGTTTCATACATCAACTTCAACTACTAGATAAACTACTCCGAGAACTACTAGATAAACTACTCATCGGAGCTATGGAACTGCTCCCAGAACTCCTCCTTCGTCGGGTCGTCGCACCCCTCCTCCTCCTCCTCCTCCTCCTCCAAGAAGTCTGCCCAGTCCTCCTCGGAAGAGGACTCGATGGGGATCACCGTCGAGGGACCGGCCTCATCCTCCTTCGGCCCCTTCTTCTTCTGCTCCGCCTCACGCTTCCAGTAGTACTCCATCTCGGCCTGGACGTACTTCGGATGCTCCCGAGCAAACCTCGCCATCGCCTCCTCATCGGTCTCGCCAGCACTGACGACAACCGCCGGCTTCTTCGTCTTCTTCTGCTTCGTCGTGATCTCCTTCATGTTGATGCCCTGCGGCACAAGCATCTCCGCTTCCGCCTGACTCTTGATCTCTGGAAAGTTGAGGTGCGACCGAGGCCTCTCGGCACGCCACACCGCCACGTCGTAGGCACGCGCGGCCTCGTGGGCGGAGGGGTACGTGCCGATCCACCAACGCCTTCCGGCATCGGTGAACTCCACACCCTAGTTGCCGGAGGGCTTCTGCCTCACACCGAAGAAGCCCGACTTGCCCTTCGGCG